ACAAGGGATGGTGGTGGCACCACCCTAGGGGGGCAGTGACCACCAAGGCCAAACCCCCAAAACCCCTGCTCTGAAAAAAGCGGCGGTGCACCGCCCTAGGCACGGCGGTGCCCTAACAATGACCAGCCCCACTTCGGCTGCTCTTGGCTAAAAAGGGGCGATGTGGCACCGGACGCACCTCGGCGGTGCACCGCCGTGCCTGGGGCGGTGTGCACCGGTTTGGGCGGTGCCACCCCCTAAACAGATACATAGAACCGAGCCCAGGTGGGCACCGCCCTAGGGGTGGTGGTGCCACTGGACAGGCAGGGGTGGTGCCCCCAGGGCAGCATCCCGAGCCCGCCAACGCCTCCTTTCTTTACCTTTTGCCAACACCTTTGCAAATGTGCTAACACTCCAAGTGATACACCACCTTGTGCATGTGTGTTAGCATTTTCACGATCATTTTTCAAAAGTTAATCACTTCTCATGGATTGTGCACGTACTAGGCTTAAATGCAATGCAAGTATTCCAACACCTAGTGGCACTTGATGATCAAGTTGTCCGATAAGAGCTCCCCTCTTAATAGTATGACCATCTATCCTAAATATGATCACACTCTCTATAGTGTCTTGATCACCAAACAAAATGGCCCTATGAAATATACCTTTGCCTTGAGACCATTTTGTTTTTCTCTTTCTTCTTTTCCAAGTCCGGAGCTTGATCACCATCACATGTGGTCATCTCATCATTTCATGTGATCATCACCATCATCACATGTCTACCATGGACTTCATCTTGCTCCAACACTTGGCTTGGACCGACCTATCTCAATTCCACACTTAGAGCATAGGGTTAGTCCTAATGGGTTTTGTCAATTAACTAAAACCAAATTAGAGCTTTCACTTACGCCAACCCAACTTCACTGTGTTTTCTGTACCTCTAAATAAGAGCATTTCCAAGAGTTTCCAAAACACACTCTCAATCTAAATTTTTAGCAGGAATTGAAAAAATGATATCCAACAACTCCCAATTTTTTCGCAATTGGGAAAATCAATCCAATAAAAATGACCGCTGGTGGAGGCATTGCTAGGTACTAGTATATTGCCCGAGCTAATTAATGCTGCGGCGGTGTCTAGAAAAAAATCACAAAACTAAAATGAATCATAAAACTAAAAATGAACCAAACCTGCCACCACTAACAAAAAAAAAGTTCTTTGTTTTCTTTGAGATGGTCAAAAGAACCAACAACTCTCAGATGGCCTTTGCCAATGGCAATACAACTTCTTCTTTCGGCATCCCATAACCTCACTTGTGTACAAAATGTCACTCCAAAATTGAGAAACAAATGCTATGGCCATGTTAACGCTTAAATGCAAGTTTCAACTGAGATATCATTATCGAAAAATCTTGACAATACTGTAAAATGTCATCGTTGGCTTGAAAATTTGGAGACTAACAAATCAAAAGTGTACTAACAGATTGGGCTGAATGAGCTCTATTCTTTTCATCTTGATGATACAATTCTTATTTTTACACAAGCAATATTGATGCTAGACACGCAGTTGGTTCATTAAATCGTGGTAAGGAGTTAATAATCCAACCAGGGAATAATTAGAAGTATCTACACAGAACAACCAAGCACATAATAGTTATTATGAAAGACGGCAACGGGGAATTCCCATCCCCGTCGGGTATTGTCTTCCCATCCCCATCCCCGTCCACGCGAAAGGTCGCGGGGGACATTCTCTCCCCATGACCTGATTGGTAGGGGATTGGATGATTTAGATGTTTCTTTCAGCAATTTCTTATGTGCTCCTATCTGAACCACACATTTTTTTCTTAAACACACTATATATCTTGGAGGCATATATAGATTAAGTTAATCCTTGTTGTATCCAACAATATAATTTTGATCCTTTTTGAATTAAATAATATAATAACCCTGTAAGTTTGTATCGCTCCTTTTTATGTGGATCTTTAATCTATTTTATTTTTTTATACCATGTGTTGGTTGTTACTTTGCATCATCTAAAATATCACCGTGACGTTAGCACGAGCAATATACTAGTTGATTCAGTATCGGTCCATGCAACACCACTCGCTTTATTTAATGTACTTCTTCTAAATTGTAAGTCATTTTGACTTCGGTAAATTCATAGATTTTACTATACAACTAGATATACATTGATTCAAGATACATTGTGGAATCTATAAATTTAGAAAAACTAAAACAGTTTACAATTTATAATGGATAAAATACTAAGGGAAATTTTGCTACCGGACATGCCAAGTGACCCCTCTTTGCTAGCGGGCATGCAAAATTTGACGATTTGCTGGTGGACACTCTAGTTCCTTACAAATTTGCTGGTGGACACCGGACCGAATAAAATATTCATTTCCGGGCTTTCGAGGAGAGAAAGCACGGAAATGTCCTTCTCCCTGGCCGTTTCTTCTACCTTGGTCTCCTTCCTCACGCCGCGACGTCCCTCGCCAATGAGCATGCCACCGCCATTGTTCCCAGCCGAGGAGGCTTCCCGCCGCGATGGCGACACATGCTCGCTGCCATGGGCGAGCTGCTGCTTTTCATGCTATCCAATGAGGCCATGGCGGAACCGCAGCAGCTTCGGCGCTGCGTGCCACGAGGTCGCGGGACCGGCTGCTCACGCACGCTGCCGGGCGAGGCCGTGGCGGAGCGGCTGTTCGCATGCCCCCACGAGGCTGCGGCAGAGCTGCTGCTCTCGCCGCCGGCGAGGCCGTGGCGGAGCGGCTGCTCTCTGCCTTTCGCATGCTCGCCCGCGAGGCCGCGCGGCTGCTTTCTTCTGCCTTCCGGCGCGAGGCCATGGCGGAGCGGCTGCTCGCGCGCGTGCCCACGAGGCCGTGCGGACCAGCTGCTCGCGCGTGGCGGAGCGGCTGTTCGCGCGCCCCCACGAGGCCGTGGCGGAGCGGCTGCTCGCATGCGCGCCCGCGAGGCCGCGGCAGAGCTGCTGCTCGCTCGCTCCGGCGAGGCCATGGCGGAGCGGTTGCTCGGGCGCGTGCCCACGAGGCCGTGGCGGAGTGGCTGCTCTCGCGCGCCGGCGAGGCCGTGGCGGAGCGGCGTTGTTCGCGCGCCCACGAGGCCGCTGCGCAGCTGCTGCTGCTCGCTACCGGCGAGGTGCCGCGGGGCGGTTGCTTGCTCGCATGCGCTACCGCGCGAGGTCAGCAGCAGAGCTGCTGCTCGCGCGCTCCGGCGAGGCCATGGCGGAGCGGCTGCTCGGGCGCGTGCCCACGAGGCCGTGGCGGAGCGGCTGCTCGCATGCGCGCCAGCGAGGCCGCGCAGAGCTGCTGCTCGCGCGCTCCGGCGAGGCCATGGCGGAGCGGCTGCTCGCGCGCGCGCCCGCGAGGCCGCAGCGGAGCTGCTGCTCGCGCGTGCCGGTGAGGCCATGGCGGAGCCGCAGCTCGCACGTGTGCCCATGAGGCCATGCGGACCGGCTGCTCGCCCATGCCGGCGAGGCCGCGGCGGAGCTGCTGCTCGCGTGCCTGCCCGCGAGGCCACGGCGGAGCTGCTGCTCGTGCGCCCGCGAGGACGCGGCGGAGCTGCTACTCGCGCGCGTGCCCGCGAGGCCGCGACGGACCGGCTGGTCGCGCGCGCCGGCGAGGCCGTGGCGGAGCGGCTGCTCGCGTGCGCCCGCGAGGCCACGGCGGAGCTGCTGGAGGTGGTCCGGCGGCCACAGGCACTGGCGGCTCTCGCTGACGAGGACCGCGTCGCGGCCAGAGGAAGGAGACCAAGGTAGAAGAAACAGCCAGGGGCAGAAAGGACATTTCCCGTGCTTCTCTCTCCTCGAAAGCCCGGAAATGAATATTTTATTCGGTCCGGTGTCCACCAGCAAATTTGTAAGGAACCAGAGTGTCCACCAGCAAATCGTCAAATTTTGCATGCCCGCTAGCAAAGAGGGGTCACTTGGCATGTCCGGTAGCAAAATTTCCCAAATACTAAAAACCAACACGTTTCTACAACTCTTGTACACGAACGAATATTATCATGTCCAGTACTAATTACTTTATGGGAAATAGTGTTTATTTAGTAGGAAAGCTAAAACGTCGATTGTTTGGAAGGGAGGGAAAGTTAATTTTTCATCCACACTTCCTAGAGTGCAGGTGTCTGAAAACGTACAACCAAAGGCACCGGACAACGAAAAGGAAACAAAGAAAGGAAAAGGGAGCTCCAAAGCCATTTGATTTAGATCCAATTAATGAGAATCAACGGCTGATTAGATGAAGAGTCTGTCTACCCAACAACCATGTGTTTCAGCAAAAGGTAGCACATGGTTGTTTGCTAGCTGTAAAACACACGATTTGTAACAGAGGAAAAACCATGTGTTTCAGCCAAAGTTAGCACATGGTTATTAGCTGCCTAAAAAACACACGAATTTCAATAGACAAAAAATCATGTGTTTTAAAAGAAGCTACCACATGATTGTTGGAACTTTCCTGCAAGAAGTGCACTAATCTTGCTTCATGGCAAAGATGGAAAGGTCACTACGATGTGATACAGAGGTGGAATGAACCAGCTTCTGACAAGAGCAAGTTAGAATTTGAACTCTGAGAGAACTGTGATTTTACAGCATTGAGTGCAAGAAGTAAATCAAACTTGTGCACAGGAAAAATAAGTTTCTAAGTCGAGCAAAACTAAATGTTAATACACAGGTAAAACTGTTATCAACATCTGCTTTCTTAGATGGCACACTGATCAAAAGGCATCCACATGTAAACAGAGGAAATGAATTTTAGTAAGACTGATTTTACAATTTACAAAGTTGTAAGATCTACTATAAAAGTAATACATCACGAAGAAATTTGTCACTAATAGAGATATTATAAACTTCACTCATTTATCTAGAGCAAGTAATCGTCACCCACGACTAGTTAGAAGAAGCTCCCTGATACAGAACATGTCTAGTTAGAAGCTCCCTGGTACACGTCTCATGTACCTTGTCCCTTCAGACCCAGGATGACATGTCCTTTCATTGTTGAAAATAGTCTCTTCAAGCATCACAAGGGTGATATTCCATAGGCAGCAGCACTGAAGAGAAGAAGCGCCACACATCCTGCAAGATAATCAGTTCACAGATGCATAGTTTAAGAAGCAGGTCCAAGTACATAACAAAATGCTTCAAAGTTGGTAGCTATCAACACCCTAAACTAAATATCTATGCATTTAGTTGTCATAGCTGAACTAACCATATGCACGGAATGAAGAATATTCAGCATTTCAGCAACCATCATGTCTTTACTGGTCTAAGACAAGTAAGCTTTGGCCCTTATAAAACATTACAGAACTATTGCACTACTGAAAGTACATCTCAAGTAAGATAAAAAGGCAAGGACTCATACCTATTGTACACCATATATTCATATGTGATCCCTACTCCAGAAATTCTTCCATAAGACCCAATAGTAAGTTCAGCATCATATTATTACCAAAGAGATAGTGAAAGAAGGACATCACAAAGAAACAGACAGCAAACCTGTGATATAAATTGTTCAGCATCTGTGCGCCTTAGGAAATGGAGTGAGTTCTTGGTCAATGATACAGAATGGTCACCAAGAGATACTTCACCAATGTCCTCCAAAGACCCGAACCTGAATGTAAGGATCCTTGGGAGGAACCTTGTCCTGTAATAAAGGGTATTAGAAGTCTGATAAATCTCTCATCCCGAGTAAAGCATAAGAAATAGAAAAAACACCATACTACTGTCAAATCTATATCCATCTCCGATATGTATGATTTAATGGCTGCAGAGTGGTTCTTGAAGTACTCTTTCTCTGAGAAATGGAGCTTTTCTTGTATGTCATGAGGAAGCACAGGGCCAACTTTCCGTCTAAAACTCTGAATAACTTCTGCTCGATTGTACCTGTTTGGATAGAATTCATTCAGCTAAAGTACACGCAAAATCAAATTTAAGCATGTGCTATCAGCATAAAACAGAGAAACAAAAAGTTAGCTCATCTGAGAACTTTTAGTTATGTACATGTAAGCCATAAGGCATCTTTTGTTACAGAGCAGGGAACGATGGTGGATAGCTGCACCATAGTGATCCTCATTTCTAGTTGTCTCAATATCTAAGTTTTGCTCCACCATTTTCCTGTCATAAGCCAGGCCTTGTCAGTAAACTGTGCATTGGAAATGTCTATCAATCAGGGTAACCTTGGATCCAGATGGTCAACATTCTAGTAGGAATGTAGGGTACAATTTACCTGATCAGTGATTGAAATTGTGAATTGTGCTCACTGCACTCTCTAATCACCTGATCAAACACATCAGTCTGCACATTTTCAGAGATTACATGTTAGGTACAAAAGAAACTAAAAGGAACTGTTGCTGTCAAAGTCACATTGCTTCTAATAATGGAAGAGTAGTATAAATATTTTCAACCTTTTTTGCACTATATAATGACAAGGAAACAATATTGCAGCTAGTACCCTTAGTTTGCTTCTGAAGATGTCATAACACGTAATTGTTTACATCCATATCAAAATACACATGCTAAAAAAATATGATTATGAAATAATGAAACATGTAGTGATCTCTTTTTTATGTAAATCCATAGGTATGGACAGGGTCTAACCTGATGGAGAATTAAACCAGTTGTCCAGGTCCAATACGAGTTTCTTCCAAACTTGGATAGCACATACTAACTAACATGTTTAGAAGGGAGAAGAGTCTAAAAGGCACTGGCTCAGTAGCTCAAAAAATTTATATAACTTTGCAGGCACATCTGTCAGCCAAACCAACAATATTTGATTTGACAAATTATGATTTTTTAGGTGCTATTAAAGCAATACTTTTGACTGAGGATACAAAAGGTTTTCTAACGCAATTTCACCCATCGAACACAGAACACACTAGATCATACAAAATTGCGGCCTGCCACAGACACAAACGAGATAAAAAGCAGCAATCACTCTGATTCCAAACTAATAACTGCAGGTGAGTACAGAGAAGCGGGCATTACGTTGAATGGCGCAAGCTGACCAGCCTCAGAGGAGTCAATCTCCTTCAGCAGCTGTGACGCACGCCTCCCATACAAAATAGTGCCAAAGTTATATATAAAGACTGGATATTGCATATGTTAAACACCATAATTGCAGTATTTTAAGTGTGCAATTTATTACTTATAAATGTGCAATCAAGAATACTAAACACAGCTTTCTTGTATAGTGTATGCGTATATGCAACACACAATTAAAAGATGTGAGCTCCTACTATTCCACTACAACAACCACAAGACAGCCCAGCTATCCAAAACTACAGGAGGATGAGGCTATACACAAGCAGTACAGGGTAAAACAAAAATGCTTCATCAATGTCATTGTTAGTGGAGGGACCGAGCTCAATTAGGCATGATGGCTACTGCAGCTTAAGCAAAGAATGTGCATCAATTAGGATTTAGAGGCTAGCAACTGGACCAGTCATTGAAATAACAAAGAGTAGAGGTAGCTAATACTACCAGTTTCCTCCCACTTACCTACCCCACCATACAGACTTACAGAATATAAAACATGCCAGCGATCTAGGACCAGGACAATAGTGGCCTAACCAACACATGAGAGAATATTTGAAAGTAGGAGAAGCTGAATTTGTGGGGTCTATGTTGACACAAATCACAAATAACAGATTTCATGATGTGTTAGCACAAATCACAAGAGACAATTTTTTTCTATGGAAGGACAAGGATAAAAAAGAGGTGTGTGTTGACACAAATCACAAATAACAGATTTCATGATGTGTTAGCACAAATCACAAGAGATAATTTTTTTTTCTATGGAAGGACAAGGATAAAAAAGATGTGTGTGTTGACATAAATCACAATTAACAGATTTCAAGATGTGTTAGCACAAATCACAAGAGATAATTTTTTTCTATGGAAGGACAAGGACAAAAAAGAGGTGTGTGTTGGCACAAATCACAACTAACAAAGTTCAAGATGTGTTAGCATAAAAACACAAGAGACAATTTTTTTCTATGAAAGGACAAGGACAAAAACTTGGGTCCAATGACTATGCCATTCAACCTATCTTATGCCCTTACTCACCCTCCTTAAACAAACCATGAGGCATTAAATATATGAACTACTAAGTTCTAAGCTAATCCATTTCTCTTTTGATCTGCAAGTTGGTTGTTCAAAATAAACATTGAAAGTTATTACAAATTTGCTTCGAACAATGTATATATCAAGTATACTCATGAGATGAATTAAATTTCCACAGATTGCATATGCTCAAAACTACAATTGCGGTGCTCAACACTTGCAATTTACATTATTGCTGATTGCAATTAATTAACTTGCAATTTCATTTGTTTGGTTTTCAGTGGAATTAATTACAGATTCATCGAGATCACCAAAGTTTCCAATGCAAGTGGTACAACCATAGCCAACAGTATGAAATCCTTGCTGGTTCAAGTATTCTTGAAGGCCACTGTAAATAGGAATCACCAGATTCGATTAAAACATGCCATCTCATACACAATGAAATTTTATGTTTCACTGTTCTTTATTAAACAATGACAAGATACCTCTGAAGCAAGTACTTCGTGACAACTCCTGATCTAGTGGCAAGGCTTGTCTTCACCCATGGTTTAACCTAAAAACAAGTGCCATCTCACATCAGCAGAAAGCACAGAAAGGCACTCAGCATAACAGCCCATGATTACATTACTAGAGGACTAACCTCAAGACCCAACTCGCAGGCTTTCTTAGCTACAAGACCAACACCAAGCATAACACTAGGATTTGAGGTGTTTGTGCAGCTAGTTATTGCTGCTATAACAACACTACCATGCTTGATTTCTGCTGGCTGCCCGTGAAAGTCAAATTTGACAACCTTATCCTGCTGTTCCTTTGGCACTACAAATAGATACCTTTCGCTTACTGTGAGTTTTCTAAAGCAAATAGGGTTCACAGGAAAGATGCAGTGTGGTCCTGAGAACCTAGTGAGGCAGTGAAACCAAAGCTACATTCATCATCAGCACCTACTGCTACTGGGAAATGAAGCAGACATGCACAACACTAGTAAAGCCAGCAAGGATGACTTGTTTATCAGTATTAACAAAGATAGATGACAAACTAGGACACAACCACAAAATTGCATATGCTTAGAACTAAAATTGCAGTGCCTGATACTTGCAACCTACATTATAGCAAACTGCAATTATGTAATTGAATCTTTAAATTGTTTGGTTTACTGAATCTTTAAGTTGTCTGATCAGAAATAGTTCTTTGGTATCACTAAAGTACAACTGGCATAACACATAAGTGCTCCTGTAGCAGTGTCATTGACAGAAAACCACCTAATAAAAGAAGCTACAGGTGAAAAATGATGCTTCTGGGGTTTGTATTATATTGATGTGCGAGGACAAGGACAAAAATGAGATGTGTATTGGCACAAATCGAAATTAACAAAGTTTATGAAGTGATAGCACAAATCACAAGAGACAATTTTTTTACTATGAAAGGACAAGGGCAAAAACTTGGCTTGGGCAAGCACAAACCACGATAAACAAAGGAAAAGGTGAGTTAGCACAAATCACAAGAGACAATTTTTTTCTATGAAAGGACAAGGACAAAAACTTGGTGTGGGCAGGCACAAATCACAATAAACAGATGAAAAGGCATGTTAGCATAAATCACAAGAAACAATTTTTTTCTATGAAAGGACAAGGACAAAAAAGAGGTGTGTTGCCACAAATCACAATTAATTGTATCTCTGAGGAATACTCTATATTTTTGTTACCTATCCCGTCCATGATACTTGGATAAAAGGAACCATGACAACGCCACCAAATAGAGCGTGCTAATATAGTTATACTGTTACACTGTTACAGAGATAATATTAAGAGTTTAGCTTCACATTGTACTCTTAGTTTTCACCACCATAATCAGTGCCATCTTCCTCTCAATTGAACTAGACTGGAGGTATGCTAACTGTGCCATTTTCACTACCATTTGAAATTTTACTGTTAGGGAGACTGATCAGTTCACCACAAAACTCTGGACTATGTTAGCATAAAGACAAATCCGATTCTATAGACAACAATTAGGTTTGTGCTGAGCCCTCACAAGGAGGGCTTCTAACCATCTAAGCATGGAGCCAGAGTCGTTGGTGGTGCGGACGCAGGTGTGGAGGTCCACGAGGTCGACGCATCCAGCGGCGAGCGCGACCTACGTGGCCTTGAGGTCCGCATGGAGGTTCCACACAATCAAACAATATAAATAAATCAATCCTTTGTTCCATCCTCATTCTAAAATGAGGAGGAGGCGACCGACAGGCGGAAACAATAGAAACAATCAAACACGGAAAGGGGTTCCACACCCTGTATTCAACCTTTGTTCCATCCTCATTCTAAAATGCCCAAACAATCAAACAATAGAAATAAATCAGTCCTACAACAGATTTTCAATTGATGAGTTTTAGAAACTACGGCATTGTGAATATTCAGAGCGCATACTTTATCCCGTAAATGGAAAGGAAACAAATAAATCTATATATCATTGGGCATTAGCGCGCATCGTAAACTTCGAATTTGCATCATCCATTTAGATGTCCTAAAGGGGAATCCGAGTAACCGAGTAAGATCATCATTTATAGAGCAAGCTTCCGAATGTTGTCACAAGATAAGAGTCCAATACTTAGTTAGATTCAAGCTAATGAGTTGGCGGCGAAAGTCTACTTTTTATATATAACATTATTGCTCGTGCTAACGCTACGGTTCTCCCATTACTTAAACAAAAAAGAAACTAAAAAAACAGATCCAAATATCATCTTCTAGTTAAGATTTTTATCTTCACATGGCCGGAAGAAGAAAAATCTAACACAAAATCGAAGAAAAAATCAGAACAAACTCTTGATCTGCAGCTTTGATTGAAAACCACAAAAGCTATGATAATACAGACTTTCCATCACCGGTATCGATGGAATAAAAGCGCTTGGGGTAATTGTTTCATCATCAATCAGCTAGCTCAAGAGTTGACAAATTATACTCGTAACCATCCGATCAAGATTTTAGTACCACATAGGTGCCGAAAATGAAACAGATCTAACACTACAAAAAAACAGACCAGCAACACACTGCATGGATCTAGAAAAAAAGCAGATCTGCACATTATAGTGCTCATATAAGTCATAAACATCAAAAGGACAAAAAAGAAAGCCCAAAGAAAACTCTGACAAGCACACCTAGTGGCAAACGAAAAAAAAATAAAAAAGAAAAAGAAAACCTGACAGAAAATGAATATTCAAACAGGGATAGCACTAGTACGAGCTAACAAAAAATATATATTCACGTCAGTCTGAAACACCAATCTGAGGTAATATGAAGCAAAAAGAAGGAAAACCATGACTAAAAACAGTCTAAAAATTTAGCTCACTGCTGCAGTACTGTTCTAGCCAGACTAGATACTAATCAAGAATTGTTCACCTATAGAAAAACCCGCGGCACCAAAAAGGACTGACTGAGCTAAATTGAGACAAAATAAAATGAATTGTCCGAAAAGCAGAGTCTACAGGGAATCTAAAAAACTACTGAACTGCAGACAGGAAACTAGCAGAACACTATAAGCTAAAGCTACTACTGCTGGACAGGCCAAAAATGCTACCTGAAACTAAAACTAAAACTAAAAGCACCAGAATAGCCACAAGATTTGAAAGACAGTCAATACTAAACCAGATGACCACTACACACGATGAACTGAGCAACTAGACTATCTAAGCACAGATACTAGCTTGCAAGAATTAAATACTAGATGAATATGTAGCAAGAAAGGGACGTTGCACAGAGATTTAATTCGCAAATTGCTACCTGGAAGTTGACTGCACTTTGCCAATCTGAAAAGCAAGAGTTCGGTTGTATTGCTCAATGGCTGCTGCTACTGATATTGCTCAACTTGTAAAAATGACAGACCAAGATAAAACAGACACGAGCGCAAGCTGCTAAAAGAGCATGATCGGCCAGAAAAAAACACAGAAGATTAGCAGCACGATCAAATGAAGACTGAACTGGGAACAAAAAGCTGTTGGTGATTCTCTGAACTAAGCCCAACAATGAAATGAAACCCAGGTGGGCGATTCTCCCCACCTGGATTTCAGCCTTCAGTCAAAAAGAGAATGATATATGAATAAACACTATACAACTGAGATTTCAAGCAGATCACAAGCACCATACAAGCACCACACAGGCAAAAAGATCACAAGCACCTTATAAGCACCAAGGAAAAAAAATCACAAGCACCATGTATTTGCTGCTGCAGTAACTGAACTTGTGGTAGATTGGATATGCTCCTACACCATCCGATCCTCCACTCAGTAGCTCGCATCCACAGGGCACTGCATATCCATAGCAGCAATAACTATTTCCTCATCAAGCTCCCACAACGCTGACAATGACACACTTACAGTTGAGGAATCACATTTGCAGTAGCTGAATCACATTTACAGTTGCTGAATTAACAGCCTATCCTACTTCACTTTTTGGACCAAATACAGAAGTTGAAAAATCATGTCAATACCATCATTACTTGCTAAAAATCAAACAAACATTGGAATGTCTGGTTCCTCTCTCTCCTTCCCTCCCTCCCTGGCTGCTTGCTTTGCTTCCCCCAAGCTGCAAGATCCCAAGGAAGCTGAGCCACCGGACACCTCGAAAAGAAGTGAACTGAAACTGGCAGCAGGAACACACGCAATAACTGAAAGTGCACACCACATCCACACATGCGCCTAGCGATGGAGTGACAACCATCGGCTTGCTTCCGGCGATGGCCATTGCCAACCCCGCCCCATCTCCTTCGTCATGCGTACAAGACATCCCACACATCACCCTCCTCCACCTCGCCTGACATCATCCCCGCTTCGGTAACAAACACCGCTCCAATCAGCGGCCGGTCGCTCGTCGTCGGCCGCGAAGAAGCGACAGCACACAACGCAAATCCAACACACAAAAGACAAAATCTCCGGCGAGACGACGCCCGTCCAGGTGAGGCGAAAGCAAGCGACTTCATCCTCCCTGGACTCGAACCACAAATACATCAAGCATACCATCAAATCCTAGAACAATCAATCAAACAACTACATAACCAGATCTACTGAACCAATGACGCCCAACAACAGAGTTCAAATCAAGGGACAGCACGCGCCGTACCAAGGTACCTGCCGACCTCTAGCAATGGCGCCCTGCGCCCTCGTCGTTGGAGACGGCCGCCGCCCGCGCTGCTCGGGAGAGCTCGTCCAGGCACGACCTGTGCCGCCGCTCGGGGACCTCGTTCGGTCGCGACCCACGCCGCCGCTCGGGGGACCTCGCACGGGCCCTCGCCGGCCGCGGCCATGGAGGACTGCCCTGCCGTGGCCTTCGGTAGGTGGGCGTCGTGTCCGGAAATGTGCGCCACTGCGCCTGAGCGAGAAGAGGATAGAGGAAGGGGAAAGGTTGCAGTCGGTCTCACCCACTGGAGAAGTGAGTTGATGCGTGGCCTTGAGGTCTGCAGGTCAGAGAAACAAAAAACAGAAACGCCACATCGAACGACCCAGGAGACACGCGCGAGACGGATCCGACGGATAGAAAATCCATGTGTCAACAAACCAAAAAACACACATGTATTGTATAGCATTCCTTTTAGATGAAATTTCAGGCACCTTGACATATGGCAGGTCCCTTTTTCATCACACGATAAGATTCCGTAAAAGACCCGTTTCTGCAGATTTAGAACGAGTTGTCGCTCTCATGTCTTCTGGTGGTGGAGCCACGCGATAGCATCCGCGAAGCACTTCTTGTAGCTCACCATGGCAGCCGGCGGAAGAGAGACCCCCACCTCTATCCCGCCGTCGCCACCCCGGCTCTCCGCCACCGCCACTGCGCCGATCCTCGACACGGGCACGACGTCCACCTGCGCCGGCCGGCCGAATCCGAAGTCCAGGTCGTAGACGCGGAACCTCGGCGAGCCGGACACGGTCAGTAAACCCATGGGGAACACCTCCCTGATGCGGTCCATCCACGCCTCCATGCTCGACGTCCCGATGTCGCCTACAGCTTCGTCAATGGAGGAGGCGACGGCGGCGCACGCGCTGAAGAGCCCTCCTGCGCCAGCCGCGGCCAGCTCGCCCGTTGGTGCCAGCGCGAACGCTGGGCCGACGCAGTTGCCCAGGTACTTGTCCGGCAGGGGAGGCTTCATCCGCGAGCGGTGGTCGACGGCTAACGCCATGCAGGTCACCGGGCCCTCTCCAGCGCCGCCACCGTTGCCCTCCTTGGCTCGCTGGTAGCACGACCAGACGAAGCCGAAGGTGGCGACCAGAGAGGAGCACCGGAGAGGCGCGACGCCGCGCCTCGTAGCCTCGTCGGCCACGGCGTCCTTGACGCGCTTCAGGTCGTCCTTGGACAGCGCGAACGTGGCCAAGAGCTGGTCGGCGGACATCTTGACGGACTCCAACTCTTCGCTTCTCGGCGCCCCTTGGATGAAGACGTCGTACAGGCGCCTTGGGTCGGGGAGGAGAGTCCGGTCGATGACAGGCGGCAGCAGCGGCGCTTCGGCGCCGCCGCCTCTGCAGGCGGCCGCCCAGGTGTGCAGGAAGTGCGTGGATGCAGAGCCGTCGCAGGCGGCGTGGTGCACGGTGACGCCGATGGCGAGACCTCGGCGCGCGGGCAGGAGCGTGGTCTGAACGGAGAGCAGCCTGCCGCCCTCGAGCAGCGGCGGCACGAGCGTGGCGATCTTGGCAACCTCCCGCGGCTCGTCGGTGGTGAGGCCGTCGAAGTGCGTTTCCGCGTCGTCGCCGTCGCACTCGGCGACAGTGAAGGTGACGGCGTCGTCACCCGGGCGGTAGTGCATCTCGTAGCGGTCGGATGTGCCGGGGGTGAGGCGGACGCGGCCGGCGAGCGGGTAGAAGGCGCGGAGGGCCCGGTGCAACGAGTCCCGGAGGTTGGAGATGATGGCGGCGACGTCGGCATCCGGGGCGAGGCGGTAGAGGAAGAGGCGCTGGACGGGCGGGGAGTTAAGATAGAAGACGTCGTAGAAGGTGAGCGGGAGCGAGGTCTCCGGCGGTGACGGAGACGGCGGCACGAGGGTGGTTTCGTGTACGTGTACGCGGAGGCGAGGAGATGTCGAACCAGGCCCGATCCTGTGAATCTAGTGACATGGAGCGAAGCTAGAAAAATGGGCCCGTCTTTAATATAACTGTAATAATATAACGATGTTTCAAATAAATATAATATATGATTTTTTTTCTTGTGATTGTATGAAGTCTTCTATCCCTTTCTTCTTTTTTGTTTTCTTACTTCCACATGCATGTTTTTTGGGCAACACGAGTTTACTATAAATTTAGAAATTAGAAAGTAATTTAAGAAAATTATACAATACTCAATTTAGTTTCGGAATTTCAGAAAATTCAATGTGGTACTAAACATGCTTGCTGCACCGTAAGGGATTCCTAAATCCCAAATCTAAAGAATATATACTTGACATACATACACAAGCACAATCAAGGGCTTAGGGGCAATTTCTTACCTGCGTTGCGTCCGTACGTACGCAGACCGGGAACTGAGAGTGGGCCGGCGGCCGGTCGCTAGTTCTAGTTGTTGCCGCGAGAACGCGATGCTGACGCACCACCGCGCACGCGCAGTCTCACAGAGTCGCAGGTCGCAGCGGGGAAGAAGGCAGTCGCGGCCGCACGGCGGAAGTGCAGAACGCGGAGTCGCAGATGCGGAAGCCAATTAGCTGAATCAACGTGAGGCAAGACAAATTGGCAGCCACGTACATGCCTTTCTAGCTTGCTGGGCTCTAGCTTTGAGGCCATAGAACGAATATACTATACCTACTTACGTATCTGGGGTCAGGCCCCTTAGCGTCGAGGGCCCTGTTCGGCCGCACAGCTCGAACCCCCCAAAGGCCGGGCCTGTGTCGAACCAGTCGCTGCAGGTGGCTGCTGCTGGTCCGGCGTCACGGCCATGGCGGCCTCCAATGGTATCAACGTAGGACGAGCTTGCGGCAGGCACTGGGTGAGAATTGGACTGACGCAAATCAGCAGACTATGCGAGGTAGATAAAGGGGTCGCCGGGTCAGTGGTTGCTTTGCTTGGATGCTGAAAATTTGCCTCCCTGGCTTGTTCCTGTTAACTTCGTCTGCTCGCCTGTTCGTCCTAATAATATTCTGGATGGTACGTTGCGTCATGCATGACAATAAAACATCACCGTCATTTAGGGGGATTGTCGACCGGAGAATGGTCAATCTTTGGAAAAATAAAATTCCTATGAAAATAATAGTAGGGCAGATAGAGCAGTTGTGGTGGATCAGCACCGGATTCCAGTGGCTGTGCGTGCCTCCTAAAGCTCCAACGTTAATAGATCAATTTCACAGCAGGTTTTCTTTGGTTATTTCATTTCTAAATAATTTAATATGATTTGGTTCTGATAACTTTTTTATATACCTGAATTTATTATTAATTAAGTATCTAATAATCAGTTGATATATAGTAATCTGACTTCTAGAGCTAAACATATTGTAGTTTTGGCCCGAGACGTACATGTCATGTTTGACTCTAGCATCTGGTAGTCTTTTTTTTCTTCTCCAAAATCTATTCAAGCACAGAGTAGAACTGGGTATTATTTTGGTAGATAGTTCAGTTTTAGAATATTGTAGGCATCTATATAGCCTGAATATTTCTTTCATATAGTGGTGTTATTGTCTGAGATCTGCCAGGTCAACTAAGGGCGCGTTTCGGAGGGCTTCTCCGTGCGTTCTCCGTTCTGTGTAGGCATCTATATAGTTTGAACAACACAAGTCTGGTTTGGTAGAATATATAGCAGAAAAAGCAACCCTGCATATATATAAGTTTACGACTTGTTGGTCATCATCGTCAGAGGTAAATAAATAAAGAAATAAATAGTAAAATAAAGAAAGAAAACACATTGGCCGGGCGAAACGATGTGTGCCTATCTAGTCACGTCACACGATCCATGCATCATCAGCGAGGTTTGCCCTTTGGCACCTTTAGGCACGTTTTGTAGCACGAACTCCAGTTTGCCAGGTCCTTGCATTGTTTACATTGATTCGGAGATTTTTTACAATCGGACTCGCACATGCCATCAACTGCGAGTTGGCAGTTTTCTTTGCATTCCTTCTCCGACGCCGCTACGGTTGGGCGGCCAATGCACTGCACCATGACCTACTTTTACCTACAGTTATGTATTGGTAAAACCAGCCTTTTGACAACACATAATGTGTCGGCCATTCTATTCCATTTTAGAGTCACATAAACTGTCATCAGTCATGACATAAGGCTACACGTTTTGTGTCGTCGTTTGTTCTTCCCATCCAAAAAACCAGGCTTTTGACAACACATAATGTGTCGGCCATTCTATTCCATTTTAGAGTCACATAAACTGTCGCCAATCATGACATAAGGCTACACGTTTTGTGTCGTCGTTTGTTCTTCCCATCCAAAAAGTGTGGCGAAAGTTTTTAGACAAAGAAACAATCGTCATAGCCTAAACAAACGACTGTCGAAGTGTCGTCGAAGGGGTATGCGCCGAACCAAATAGAAATGCCAGTGTTGGGCGGGAGACCGCGCGCCAAAACAGAGGTCCGTGCGGGAGCTAAAATGTTGAGCCCACTAAAGAAACAGGCTGCCTCAGAACCCATCCCCATTCGTCTCTCCCACTCACGTGACTTGAAAATAAAACTTCGCGTAGCCAACAGACACCGACGCCGCGCGCAGCCAGCAGAGCCCAACTCCGCGCGCTGCCACCAGAGCTCCGACGCTGGGCGCCGTCAGGAGGGTTCTGCCGCTGGCCAACGCCAGGACGGTGTAACACCCCAGGTGTTTGCCACCAGTTAAGCAATGGGTTTGAGCTAAAACATCGTATATTAAGTGATGATGAAGATGTCAAGGTCAACCTATGGAATTGAGCCCCGACCTAAACTTGGATATTGCACCCTTGCTTTACATATAGGCCCTTTTCAAGATATATGCTTGGGTGGTGTGATTGGGATATCTTCATATGTCTCACATCAATACCCATCTATATTGGACACTCAAAAAATTTCATGCAGTTTGGAATAAAAAAGTCACATGAAATGATAAGTTATATCCTTGTTGGAATGATTTTACTAAGTGCTTGAATTGCACTATTAAGTGAATGAGAACATGAGATGTCAACCAAACCTTGAAACCTTGCCAAAATGACTCTAGATGAACTCTACAACAAAAGTCATGAAAGGTTCATGTTGGGCAAATGCCAAGAAAATGCTCCAATGGATCAAAAAGGATAATTTAAGCTTCATCGTGATCCTACTTTGGTCAAAGTAGAACAGTAGGTTCTATACCATTTTTGAGGTTGGACCTTAAATGAAAGTTGTAGTACATATCATGTAGAACAAACTTTGTTTTTGGACCAAGAGCTAGATCAACTTGGAAATAAGTCAAACAGAGGCTCGAAGTTGGAACCTGCTGCTGATTTCAACACTTAGAATTATTCTAAGTCTGGAGTTTCGCTAAGTAACGACGTTGGCATTCCGCGTTCTCCAAATTTTGTTAAGCAACTTGATTTGGTACAAAAACAAAAGTTGGAGTTTACACCTTGGTGAAGAGCATACAAAAAGTTGGATTCAGTTTGAAGAAGTTTTGACCACCGAAAGCGAGTTTCCGTGACTACCGTCAAGGTGTTGACACTGCTGTTTTGACATACATTTATCTTCTAATATGTTTTGCTAATGGCTGAACCCCCTTAATGAAAAACGTAGAGCTTCGTGCGGGCTTCGATCTTCGTATTCGGCCCAGGTCCTGATTTGGCCTGGAAATAGCCCAAAATCGCGTCCCACGCTGATCCCGTCGTCGCCCGCCAACTGTTCGCGAAAACGCCCCAATGGACGACACGCGCCCTGTACGTGGCCGCCATGCGCCTCCGCCGCTGCCGCGCGTCCCACCTTTGGCCACGCGCCCTGCGCCCTACTGCCGATGAGGAGGGGCACCAGCACGCCCTCCCCATCCCCCTCTCCACTCCCTGCTCGCTCCCTCTCGCTCTCCAGAGCCTGCGCGCGAGTGCCAGAGCGCGGCCAACATGGGCGCCGCCGCTGAGCTTGCCGCCGTCGCGTCCTCGCTGCCTCCGAGCTTCCCCGCGTGCGCCACCATCTCCGCCTCGCCTCTCCTTCTCCCTCGCGTGCACTTGTCGCGACTGAATTCCGCTGGAGAGCAGCAGCCGCCGGCGCGGTCACCTTGACGCCGTGACCTCACGTGGCTGGGCCGCCACGAGCCCTCTCCCGGCCGCCTCCAACCACCAGTGGGTGCGCAAGGGCCCCCTGGTGCTCCCCCGCCCCTCATCCGCCGACGACGTACCTTCTCCGGCCGCAACAGCAAGCTCCGGCCATCCTCTGCTCTGTTTTTCCGACCAGGGACCTCGCGCAGCAATTCGACTAAAGGGAGGGGTGTAACTGCAATGTCATAGACTCAGGTGAATAGTGCCATAAGGACTGATTTGTAATTATTTTGCAGGAACTTTGTAAATTCATAGTAAATCGTAGAAAATTCGTAAAATAGTAAATGAGAACTTTTTGGAATCCTTGTGAAATTGTCTATGCAGTGGATCTATAATATGGCATGTTTTAGTTTAAATATTTTGTGGTAAAAATAGATTTGTGCAGTAAGGTTGTAATGCTAGTTGAATTTGTTATTTTTCATAACTGTAGATCTAGGGCTCCAAATGAAGTGAAATTTTTGTGGCATGCTACTCATGTGATAGTTGATGTGTGGTAAAAATTTCATGAGTATTGGATGAAGTATGAGTGAGTTATTGGTTTATCTTGCTCTCACATGAATTCTTGCTTTAGCAACTTGTCTTTTTCATAGAGGTTGCTATACATATCCAAATGGAGTGAAATTTGTACAGTAGACTATTGAGAGGATATGTGAGCCACTGTAATTTTTGTAGAAGTTATTGTGCACTTTTGGTATATGTTCATTAAGTCACCTTGTTATCTAAAATAAATTAAGAAATGCATTAAAAGAATTTATTTGGTCATGGACACTAGGTTTTCTGGTGTTCTTTAGTCATGTGTGAAATGTTGGTAAAGTTGGTTTTGCCCAATTATGTGTTTGCAACATAAGTTAATATTTATTTTCTTGCAAATGTGGTTTTTGGACAGATCTGGGAACTTAGCAAAGTTCTTCATGATAATGTGCTTTGTTGTGAAACTTGTTTATACAAAAGTTGTAGATAATTCATGTATCTAGCTTCTATTAAAATTTGGTGTCATTTGGCCAAGTATTTTAAGAGTTACAGCTGTTTAAAGTTGGGTTTCAGAAATGGCTGTTTTCTGTCAATTGTGGACCAGTTTTTGTAAATGGATATATTTGACTTAGTTAACTTGAGAATCATGCTAAGATGATTAAATATGAATTGTATAAAATTTCATAAGCTTTCCATAATGTCTTCTTGCAAGTCATTTGGATTTGTGTAACTCCAGTTATAGCTAAATCTTGGAGCTGCTGTTTGCATGTCCAGAAATTGGCAGATTCCAATTATAGTGCTTGCTTGTATATTGTTAAGTGTGACGTATGCCTTGAATGATGACTGAGTTAGAGCACTTAAGATCTGGGGAAACTTGTGTCATGATTGGTGTTGTCGTCTTCTTTGCCATCTTAGCATGATAGATTGTGTGATGTTTAAGTTATGCATCGCAAAGTACTTAAGTGTGTTAGTGTAAACTATGCTTGTCTTGCTTGCTATTTTGTGATGTGTCTCATGGTACTATTCTTTATATTTATGCACTTGCATATTGCATCTCATCTAGGTACGCTAGATGAACCACGTGAAGGACGTGATGTTGGAGCCGAACCCAAAGACGGTGTATGGAGGATCTATCCCGAAGATGGAAGGACTAAGCAAGTGTTAGGACCTATGATGTCACCAGACGGTGCAAGCTAACCGAATCGACTTGTGGCGGATCCTGAGC